CCAACAGCATCTTTTATGTTTTTCACCAGAGCAGCTGTCCCACGGAGATTCAGATGCACATATCTATCAAATGAGTGTCACAATTAATGTTATTGTTGTCAATATAGATGTAATTATCCCCATTAGCACTCTGTTGTTTCAATTTGTCATTTAGTTGGTCCGTGTTCTCATTTGTTGTAATGTTGTCCCTTCGATGTAGGATGGAGGAGACACAGATTTTCGCTGTTGGATATTTGTGTTTGGTATTATCAATTAGAGTTACAAACTCATCTGCACATGTCTGAACTGAGCACCCATCTGAAATGTTATTTGTGCCAACATGAATGACTATGGTTTGGATATCCTTGTATGATGTTGATTGTATGTATTCATCAATATCTTCAATCTTTCTCCCACGTAGTGTTCTAATATGTGTATTCCTATACACACGTTTGATGTCCACATCTCTCAGCAATGAATCACCCACAATCATTGTCTGCACAGCCCTTGCATCACTTTTCTTCCTGTTAGTAACTAATTCATAGTTGTCAGAATTGTCATCGTCATCTAGAGGTAGATTATTATACAGGTTGGGGGAGTGCAAGTCTTGTAATCTCGAAGACCTCAATTCATCAAGCTGTTTCTGTAAATTTTTATTCTCAAGATGAGTCTGCTCTATCTCCTTTTCCTTTTTCTTTAGATCTTGTTGTAGCTGTCTGCTATCTTGTAGTAGACTGGTGAATGAATCAGGATATTTCTGTATTTTTGACATAGTTGTTTCTTGAGCTTCTGAGATGCAGAGTAAGGTCTGGTTGTTACTACGTATAGTTTTCTCCATTGTAGTCATCTGTTCTTCCATGTTGTGTAGTTTCCGCTGTAGATTAATCATGTCTTCTTTGTTGTTATTGTTGTTGTTGTTGGTGGTGGTGTTGCTGGTGGAGGTTGTTGATGTTTTGGCAGACAGGTAATATACACCACGCATATTCACTTTTGAAACCCACCAGATACGAAACCCACATACCGCGAAAGCCCTTGTTATGCCTGTTATGTAACATCTTGAATTTTCAAGGTGAATGTTCCGGCGAAGCACTCCACTATCACCTTGAAGTATTTCATTAGGACTACGTGTATGTGACAATGCCCTCACAGTTTAGAATCAGTTTACCAACAGCCAATCATATTGCTTCTTTCTTCAACGCGCTTGGCCAAGCTATCATAATCTTCGGGGCGGAACTAATTCACGAGACGCTCAACGTTGCTATTTAAGACGCGCACCACTCTACCTTGTATTTATATGGGCTCTGCGCGAGCTGCCGGGTGAGCTGCTGTGAAACACCGGTCGAAAAGCCGGTGAAAATAGCTAAAATCGAGAAAACAGCACAAACTTTGAAGACATCCTAAACAACCAAATTTAAATATGTTGCATATGTAGGGGTAATCTTGTTACACTGTTCAGGGGGGTGTCAACAACCATCCCAAAATACCGTTTTCTGAAAATTTGTTGTCGGGTGTGTTTAAACCGAAGAACGAAAAACAAAGAACGAAGACAGAATATTCATACTGTTTAATCATAACAGTTTAATACATTTACATGCACTCATCGTCCATACTGTTTAATCATAACATATATATTCCTCGTTCTTCGGTTTAAGCACACCCTTTGTTTTCACCATGATGGTTGCCAGGCGGTGAAAATGCCCGACCCGAGAATAAATGTCGCTGCACACAGTGGTAGCTGTGTTGGCTTAGATGTCGAGGCGCTTTCTGGCAGTCATTGTAACAAAGCTTTCTATTGGTCGGTAAACTTTCTATCGCGCAACCACGTGACATACACGGTTATGAATAGAATTACCGCACGGTGTTGTAGAGGGAGGAATGTCCGAACGGAACAACACCGTGCAGGCGGACGATGGTTATGTAACTGCTGTTATATATCATGTTACTACACTATATATATATGCTTCTATGAACAGAAAGATTAAGACAATTTCTAATTATTCCCTAATAGTATAAAAGACAGATGAGCTAAACAGAATCTATTGACCTTACCTGGTTTTCCTTGAAATTAGATCATATTGCAGAGAAAAACACAGAGACTACACGCTGTTGATAGCGCCCTCATATATGTAACAGCAGAGAGTAGAAGAAGTAAACATAAAGAAATAATTGATTGAAAGACACTTCTCCTTATACATGTACTTTCACTTAGAATATTTTCACTCTGTGTCTAAGATCATCTTACCCATTGAACTTCTACTTCTTTTTGGCTGTGTATATGGACAATTTCACCTTAACGTTGATTTTTGCAACCCATCTTACC